GACCTGATTATTGTTCTTATAGTAATTAGTTTTTCTGTATCAGAATTAAAACTTTCCCCTTTTATTTAGACAGAATTGGGGAAATGTGTGATATTTTGATTGCATTCTGATTGTCCCAAAACTGACAATAAAGTTTGTTTTGAATCAGAAGAGAGTTAGCTACTACCTGACCAAAATTAACTGATGGGAGATGTCATTCTGTAAATATGTTTCTCATACTGGTTAATGAATAAAGCACTGTTGGCCAATAGGAAAGCAAGATAGGTGGGACTAGGAGTCAAGGAGGATTCGAGGAAGTAGTAAGGAGGAGTCAAGATGGAGAGTCTGGAGAAAGCAGGACGCCAGCCGGCTCTCCAGTAAGATGAGACCACATGGAAATACATAGATTAACAGAAATGGGTGAATACTTAAGACAGAGCTAGCTGATAAGAAACAAGTAACTGGCCAACAGCATTATATCAAATACAGAGTCTCAGTGTGTTAATTGGGGTTGGCGGGTCGGCAGGACAAGACTGGCAGCAGGCAGAAAAACTACACCTTACTCCTTACAATTAACCATTGAGGTTTTGGAGGACTGAGGACAGACAGACACACATAAACATAGGGTGGGACTGAGAGAGGGTCTTGGCTCTTTTAGATGGAGGGATGAAAGAGATACTTCACTGGTAACTTCTTTGTAGCTTCTCTGATCATTCAGGTTCTTACCCCAATATCTGATTCCTGAGTTTTTACTGTTAATAACTAGATGAATGCATCAGCCACAGGAACAAAATTGGCTTCTATAATGACTGAGACAATAAATGTAAATGTTTTTTAAGATTTATTTTTATGTGTGCCTCCGTGTGTGTGTGTGTGTGTGTGTGTGTGTGTGTGTGTGTGTGTGAGAGAGAGAGAGAGAGAGAGAGAGAGTGCCCACAGAGGCCAGTGACAGCATTAGATTTCCTGGAGGGAGTTACAGGATTGTGAGCTGCCCAATGTGTGTCCTGGGAACTGAGCACAGGTCCTGTGGAAAAGCAGCAGGTGATCTTAATTAACTGTGGAGCTGTCTCTCCAACTTCTCAAAGTAAGGTCCTTAGCCCTTCAAAATAATTACATCCAAGGGTGGGGTGTGATGCCAGTGTTTTGCCAAAGGAACAACATTTCTGAGGGAAGAAGATTAGAAAATGGGAGCTTTTGTGAGACTTTTACCTCTTTATGCACTTGTTGCTTAACAGAATGTATTAAAATTCATAAAAGTAGAATTATAGTGACTTAACCTGGGAATCTCTGCAGAAAGGAAACTATGTGTTAGAACCTGTGGCTCTGAGGTTTCTGCCAAAGTGGAGTATTTATTGACTTAATAGACAACTGAGACTACAAAAATAATACTTCTAATCTTAATTATGTAATATTTCTTTCACAAGTAGCTGACTGTACATATAAGGAAAGTAGCTTCTGTATAATATGGTGGTTAATATTGATTAGAAAATCCAGTTATCACTACAATTTACTTTTGATAGATCCCAAGATGGCTGTTTGTCAGCAGGGAAATGTGATTAATTGTCAAGGTGGAGTAATTTGCTGTTAATTCAATACAGGTTGAAGCCTCAAGTTTCAAAAATGTGGTTGAGGTTTCTGTTTTGTTTTGTCTACCTTGGGGTTTATCCCCTTGGGGATTCCCATTTTACTTGGGAATACTTTTTTTTTTTTTATTTAAAATGTTTGGAAATTGTGTGGTTGCATAGTTGCTTTCATTGTTATGATGGGGAAAATTCCTGAGTTTAACAAGATTTGCTGTAACTTGTTCCCCTTTCCTGCCTCCTCCTCAGACCCCTCTTTTCCCTGGGGTCTGATGAGTGAGGGGCTACTTTCCCTTTGCTCTTGATCAATGGATCTTCTGGGAGGTTGACCTGCAAGCTCTGTCATTTATATCAGATAGCAATGCATCCATCCGCAGAAAACAGAAAGCACTACAACTGGTTAAACAAATAAAGGTTTATTTATTTTGTGCATGATACAATCTATTGGTAGGTAGAGTGGCTTCCTTTGCCTCCAAGGGTTGGCCCCAACTTCCTTCCATCTTTCAGCCCTTTGTACTCCTTTAGTATGCAGATGCACTAAATTCCAGGGAAAAGAAGCTAGAGGTCCAGAGGACAAAAACATCCTACTCCCCCCGCCCCAAGTATTACCTTCTGAGACACTAGGGACCCTGGCTTTTTATCTTAGATAGTAGAAATAACCAAAGGGAAAGTTGGACACTTTTTTAACAGCCAAACTGTAGTTTCATTTTATTTCCTCTGGAGTACAAGAAGTCTTCATAAGTTCCTTATTATCGTGGACTGCCTGTGTGCTTAGTTGGTGACAGAATGACATCGAAGAATGACTTATCTAACGGGAGATCTGTAGGTGACTGACTTGTCTCTGTGGCTGACCTGTTCATATCAGTCATGGTTCTCTGGAGAAAGAAAACAGCAGTATGTGTAGACATATGTAAAAATGCTTATTTTAAAGCTTTGGTTTATGTGACTGGGGGGGGGGGCTGCAGGTACAGAATCTTGTGTGTTTGTTACAGAATCTTGTGTGTTTGTGCTGCCTTTTGTTCTATCCAGAACTTCAGTTCATCACACGACGCTTGTTCATGTTGTAGAGGTTACCTGTTTGGTTCAGAGCCCACTATTTTCAGGGCTAGATGTGCTGCTGAATGGTGGAGTGTACACTCTGATCCTTATCACAAAAACAAACAAAATCCTCACATACAAGCAATAGTAGCAACAACAACCCACAAAATTCACAAATAAACAAAAGCCACCCATTTTAATGGCAATCTCATCTAAAATTACTCTGAGAGACACATCCTAAAGAATGTTTGCTCTCGTATCATCAGAGCACAGAGGTGTGAGAGGAGCCTTGAACAAATCCAAGGCTGCAAAGGGCAGGCTCAAGGCCAGGTGAAAAGCTTCCCAAGTTCTCAGCCAGGCTGACAGGCAAAACTTTCCAGGGAAGTTAGTATGCTGTGTGACAGCTGTCTCCAGGGGCTCTAAGCCTTACTTTTTTTTTTTTTTTTTTTTTGGTCTGGGACTCAAACATAGGGGTCTCATATGTGTTAGGTGATCACTGTACCATTGAGCTACATTCCCAACTTTAAGCTTTCCTTTGGCGAGCTGGACCCAATTTGTAATCAACAACCTTCCCTACTCCATCACTGCCCCCAACTTGTGTGGCCAGAACAGGTTTAGGGATGACCTTTTTTACTATGTGGGCAGCATTTTCTGTTATGAATACAGTGTGCAGAGGAGGTGGGGGGCAGGCGGCGACAACAGACAGATACCTTGGAACAGTTCCATGTCCGGTGAGTGAGACAGAACTCACAATGGAAAGGGAGTTTTATTGGGGAAGGAAGGGGAATGAGGGAAGGGAGAGAGAGAGAGAGAGAGAGAGAGAGAGAGAGAGAGAGAGAGAGAGAGAGAGAGAGAGAGAGGAGACAGAGAGACAAACAGACCTGTCTGCTTCCTCAAAGAAATGGAAGAAAGAGAGAGGTGGAGTAGACAGAGCCCATTTCTTAAAGGGGCCTCCTGTGCTTGCAGAGAGGCAAGGCACTGCTTGGGTGTACAGATGGGTGACACACTGAGCCAGGTTCCCAGCGGGTGGGGCCAGGTTTGCATCCGCCTGGATGCTAACAGTTTCTATCTGTCTTTTGGGTTTTCCCACAAGCAGGTGACTCTGCTGTGACTCAGTTTTGCTGGTGGTGGGCTGTGATATTTTGTTTGTCACAGAGAATATTAGCTAATGTGGTGACAGGCAGAGAAAACTCACTGGGGGATCACAGAGTGATATCTATCAAAGGCTAAGGATGTGAACTTGCACCTGCTAGTGCACGCCTGCTTGTGTTAGCAGCCCTGGTGCATGCGGAGAACTTTAGCCCCAGCGTGGAATTCTTATTTTGGGCCAGCTAGGCAGGTTCAAACAGCATGGCAATAAGTCAAAAGTGTCCTGGCCGGAGTGACAGAACAATGAAAGCTAGGGTGGGTAAGGAAGTGAGTGTAGCTGTGAGGCCTAATAGGAATCACACTGAAGGACCTGTGGACTACAACAAACTGCAACCTGTGTAATAAACCACCCCAGAGCGGTCAGATCCTAAGATTATTAGTTCTCACGGCAAGGTGCTGAGTCTATCTTAAAAAGGCTCTGAGCTGATGCTGATGTAAAAGGGCTATGGACCGTTTTCTGAGCAACATTGGGTTTGTAACTGTAGTACATTTAGGGAGGGACAGAGAGAGGAAGAAGAAGGGAAAGGAAGAAGGGGAGAGCCAGAGAGACGACCCAGCCATGACACCGTGAGCTAGAGGACAGGTGGTTATAGTGAGATGATGACTTGACATCTAAAAGGTGAAATAGTTTCAAGGTGTGGCCAAGGGAGTGGGTGGCTGCATTGGAGTAGAGGTGAACATCAGCAGAGGCAACAAGGTCAAGGGATGAAAAGCCTAGCTGCCCTTGCGGACCTACCTTGAAGCTACCTCCAAGGCACAGCAGAGCTTGGAACAGAGAAGCAAAGCCAAGAGCAAAGTTCAGGGCCCTTGGGAGGGAGCTATAGGCACCTATACAGCCACTCGGCTCCTGGACTATGGAGAAGTGAAACTAGCTGACATCGTGTGAGCGTCTGTAGCTTACCATGCTCTCTACAGACCGAGCCAGTAATCCTCCCAGACAGGCGTCACATGAAGCATGTGCCGTTTCTGTTTGTTTCTTTCACTTATCGAGAGCCTCATGCAGCCCAGGATGCCGTCCAGCCTCCACCTCCCAAGTGCTGGTATTGCAAGCACATGCCAGCACACCTGGCACAGCAAATGTCAACGTGATTTCTGTTTCCATGTGTGAGAAAATGCAACACAGAGAAACGGCCCCTCACAAAATTACAGTATGGGGTGTTTTAACATAGTCCAACTGAATAGAACCAGAATGTACTGGATATTGTTGGGAATGGGGTTGGTTTTAGAAAGACAATGAAAATGTTTCAGATGCTCTCCTTTTATTGCCCATGAGGTTGCAGCACCCAGTAGTAAGCCCTTGCAAGAGGCTGGGGAAGGCACATCTCTTCACATCAAGGCTTCTGGCTGCTCCACGCCTTGATGATTTCTTCAGCAGCATCCAGTGTGCTGTCTTTCTGCAGATTCATAAAAGAACTGTTGTTACATACCAATGTAGCAATGTTTAAACACTGAAGATATAACCACGTGGCGGTGGTGGTGACGGTGGCCCAGGTCTTTAATCCTAGCACTTGGGGGAATAGAGGCAGGGAATCTCTTGAGTTTGAGGACAGCCTGAGCTGCATAAAGAAATCCGGTCCCAAAACAAAACAAAACCCATAGAAGACATAAGAAAACATCTAGTTTTACATGGAGAAACCATTGCAAAGTAAAAACAGGCAAAAACTAAAATGTGAGGGGTGGGAAGATGGCTCAGTGGTTAAGGGTATGTACTGTCTTTGCAGAGGACTTATGTGGGGTGGGTGGCTCACAAAACTGCCTAAAACTCCAACTCAGGGGCTAGGCTGACCTCTTTTGCCCTACATGAACACACACACACACACACACACACATTTTTAAAAGAAAACAAAAATTAAAAAACTGAAAGCAGCTATTCAATTACTTATTGAGACAGAAGCCAATGAGTTCAGAGGTGACTATGTTGGAAAATAACAGGCCACTTCTCCCCACTTTCCAAGACAATCTTTCATGGCAGTTGTTAGGTTTAGTTTTAATGGCTGCCATTAAAACCCAATCATATGCTCAGGTTTCTATTCCCTTATCTGTGAACATTGTATTATTCACTGTATTTTGCCTTCAATAAGGAAAATAGTTCATTCTAATCAATACTCTGGGGAAAACTGCTATGATTATTGAAAACCAATCCTCTTAGCTTTTGAATAGGCAATAAATGTTTTGTTTACATTCTATTAGCTAAGAGTGCTCTGTTTGCATGTATGCCTGAATTCCAGAAAACGGCATTAGATCTCACTATAGATAGTTGTGAGTCACCATGGGTTTGCTGGGAATTGAACTTAGGACCTTTGGAAGAGCTTTAAACTGATGACCCATCTCTCCGGCCCAGCAATGCATGTTCATGATATAAAAGTAAATGGAAGAGCTAATCGTAGAAATCTAGTCTTATGTTTTTCTCTTCTCCTTTTCCCCTCTCCCCCCCTTCTACCAAAATGGTTAGGCAGGAACGCCAGCTTCTGGGGATGAGAGAAGAGGGTACCACATTTGGAGGCTGGGAGCCCAAGCAGGGCAGCCATTGTGCATGCCAAAGGTGCTGGCACCAGCAGAGGTAGTTCTGACCTGACACAGGGGTCCAAGTTGGTGAGGCGTCTGTGTGGCAGGGCGGCCCATGCAGGGTACTGACGCTGAACAGAATAGGGAGGCCCCTACCATGAGAGCAGAGCGTGCCTAGTGTGGGGTATAGAGGCTTCGAGGACGGTGAGGGAAAATGGTAGAACAGGGTCTGGGGTCAAAGTGTGTTGGTACGGTCATCCACTGAGAGGTTGTGTGTGTGTGTGTGTGTGTGTGTGTGTGTGTGTGTGTGCGCGCGTGTGTGTGTGCATGCACACTCGAAAACATGCATGTGTGACTGGCCAGAGATCAATCACACACAGAGGCAATAAGTAATTAAATGATGGGAACCAGGCTTCACTCTTGAAGAAGGATACAAACACAGAAATGGAAAAATTACAATTAACCCTATGATAGTTTTCAATAAATTTGGATACAAATAAATACAGATGTGAGAATATATGCAATCAGCTCTGTCTGCCCAAGGGCTCTGGTTCTCAACCAACTGAAGCTGTGACAAACATGTGACAAACATGTGAGAGAAGAAACTACACCTGCACCAAGCGTACACATGTTTCTTTTTCTTGTTATGATTCACAAACAATACACTATAACACCTATTTGCATGGCGTTACATTGTATTAGATTGTAGATGACTGGAAGTATACAGAAGGATGTACATACATTATAGACAAATAATGTGCCATTTATGTAAGTCAGTTGAATATCCTGGTAAACACAGACGGGTGGGAGTATGAAACTAATCACCCTTTGTCACAGAAGTATGACTGGCATATATAAATGTGCATGCATACGGATGTATTTATATATTCTCTGCCTCTGCCTACTGGGAGGGCTGAGGAACAACAATGCAGAACAGCAGTGAACACTCTCGCTATCTAACTCTTGATCTAAAGGAAAAACTCCACGCTAGGGCTGGAGAGCCAGCCCAGAAATTAAGAGCACTTGTTGCTCTCAGTGGGGACCTGGCATCGGTCATTTTCACAATGCTCTGAAGGTTGCTTTGTGCGTGTCTTTCCTTTTTATTATGATGCCCTTTGAAGATGGGTATCTCGTGTCTTGGTGATTACTGACGGTTTTCTGACTGAATGCCCAGGGTGAGCCCCTGCTGATCTGAGGAGCGAATGTGCTGCTGTGTGACCTAAAGATGCATTTGTAGAGTTTTAAATTTTTATTTACGTAATTTCATGTGCACTGGTGTATTGCCTGCATGTATGTCTGTATGAGGGTGTCAGATCCTCTGGAACTGGAGGTACAGACAGTTGTGAGCTGCTGTATGGGTGCTGAGAGTTGAACCTGGGTCCTCTAGAAGGACAGCAGTGCTCTTAAGGGCCGAGGCATCGCTCCAGCCCCATGGATTTGCAGATGTTTAGCAAGGAGGGACTGGGCAGTGCTACAAGGCAACAGAGATTCTCTCTTGTTCATCGGTGAGTTTAATACAACTCTAATGTAGAGACGAAGAGGTCAGCCAACTGAATTACATGGCCTAACTGAAGACCTTTCCTCCATATTGCCTCAACCCAACTTTTGGCAACACTTGCCAGATACATGAGGACATCCGCAGCCCAGGGAGAGTTCCCTTCCACATAGCCTCACGGTGTTTAAACGACACGACTGCGGACTTGTGTCCTGCGTCTCTCTCTGTGGGAAAGTCCGCAGCTCCTTCTGTTCTCAGCATTTGCTGTCCACTGGCTTCATCTATTATTTGAGACACAGATCCTTTCTAGGCATTGTGTCCTTCTACCATTGCTTTTATGACACTTGGCAATCCTTCCCTACATGCTGGCTAATCTGCAAAATCATTTTATAACTCTCCTGAGTTATGTCCAAGAAGAGAAAAGGGTAGGGCCGTGTTTACTGGTTTAAAACTGAAGTTGGTTTGTGTTTTTGTTTTTCAAGTCCGGGCTTTTCTGTGTAGCCCTGGCTGCCCTGGAACTCAAACTCACTATGTAGATCAGGATAGCCTTGAACTCAGAGATTTTCCTGCTTCTGCCTCCCGAGTGCTGGGATTAAAGACGTAGACTCCCACTCCCAGCTAAAACTGAAGTCCTAAGGTGACGTTTTCTCCTTCTGTTGATTATGTTTGTATTTTCAAATAATGTGTTTATAAAGGTGGCCTCTGTCTTGTGTGGCTCTGTTGGCTAATTTTTGGTTTGATGATGACAGACAGTCACAACCATGCTCTGAACTTTGGTATTTGGGGGAGGCTGATGATATATTGTAAGATACTCTCCTAATGCTAGGCTGTATGTAGCAAGTAGCCTCAGATCTGAAAGGAAAATGGCTGTGACCCCAGCTGCGCTGCATTGCTAAGATATGCTGTTCGGCCTTGAGGTTGTGGTAAATTCATTTTCAACATGAACTATTTTTAACAAGACTTATCTGGATATGTCTCCATTGTAAGTGGAGACACACTAGGACTTACTTTAGGCCAACCATTATGATATGCTTTATTAACCTTACTTTTTCTTTTTTATTTTAGTCAATCAGGTAATCACATTGTTCTATTGTAAATACTTATATTCTATTTATGGTAAGTCTGCCATATTGTATGGACAGGTTATCCCCAAAAGTATAAAATAGTATTTACCATTGGGTGGTGGCAGCACACTCCTTTAATCCCAGCCCTCAGGAGACAGAGGCAGGTGGATCTCTTTGAGTTCCAGGACAGCCAAGGCTACATGAAGAAACTCTGTCAAATAACAAAAACAGAACAAAACAAAAAAGTTTTTATGTTATGCTAGACAGACTATAGATGAATGAGTTGAATTAGTACAGAGGCTGCCTCAGAGTGTTTTGAGTAGTCATAACATGCATGTTGTGTGTGTGTGTGTGGTACTTGCATGTGTATGGGTATAAGTGTGTATGCATACCTGTGGAGGCCTGAAACAGGACATTGATGCCATGTTTATATATTAAAGCAGGGTCTCTCACTGAATTCAGAGCTCGCCAACCCGGGGCTAGTGTAGCCAGTGTAGCTTAGCCTGGGGATTACAGGCCCCTGCCCATGTCTTGCTTTTATGTGGGTTCTGGGGATCTGAACTTCGGTGCTTTCAAGTGCTTTCTCCACTGAGCCACTCTGAAGCCCAGTAATAATATCTTAAAAACAGCACATCTTCTAGGATGGTCAAACGGTGATGAGTGCTCTCAGCTAGCCATAGGGACATCTTTCATTTTCATTTTAAAAAATTCATTCATTCATTCTTCTTTTTTTTACAGCCATGTGTCTGTGTGAGCACATGCCACATGCAAGGAAACCAATGTGTGCATATCCTTCCACATAGGCCAGAGGAGGGTGTGGGATTATATTGGTTTCCTCTCAAAATGACTTAAGGATGGCAGCTCCCAACACTTGAAGAGTGAGGCAGAGGACTGTCATGAGTCTAGGGGCAGCCTGGGCTACAGAGTGAGGATCCCCCCTCCTCCCCCCCACCTCAAGAAACCACAAATCAATAAACAACAACAACAACAGCAGCAACAAAACAGCAAACAGAGGCTGAATACTGCTTTACAGTTAACCTCGTGGCACCAAGTCAAATTCAACAAATGTCACTTCATATGCATCACTTTTAGAAACAGGAAAGAAGCGCTCTATAAATTGGAATAAAAGACACATTTGTGAGACTACAGAGACTTACTTTAATGAAGCAAAACCGCACCAACTTCTCAAACTGTGGCTTAGACTTGGAGTCACAGAATGCTGAAATGGGGATGGCTGACAGTTTCTGGAAAATGAGGGAGAAGATGGATGCACTAGGAAGCTACACACATTAAAAATGCATACCTTTGGTGGCCATAATTCTTAAAAGGAAAAACATTTTAAAATCCCTCAATGAGTCCGAAGTGGACTATCTGGATAAGAGCAGGATGCTGGCTCACATAGTTTACCTGTCACTGGGGAAGCAGAGGCAGGCAGATCTGTAAGAGTTTAAGGCTAGCCTGGTCTACACGGCAAGTTGTAGGCATGGTGAGGCTACATGGTGGGATCCTGACTCAAAAAAAGACTGAGCTAAACTAAACTAAAATTTTTAAAATAAAGAAAAGGGGAGGAAACAAAGCTAGAATTAAGGGTCATTCAAAGCACATCCAACTCTAAAACAGCACAGCAAAGGTCAGTAAACTTTACCTTATTTTTCGTCATCCACTTCACAAACTTATAGTCATAAGGCTCATCGCTCTTCATGTCAGAGAGGTCAGCATCTGCAACCACAGGGAAAGGTGGGTGGAGGAAGAATTATATTTGAGACAAGGGTTTCACTTAAGCCTGCAAGATCCAAATTTTCTCCTGACTCACACAGGTTTGACCTAGAACATTCTAGAAGTTACTGAGAGACTGCACTGGAGTCTTCACCTGACATGAGCATGACTGGTTACTGAGGCAGCAGTCACAGTCAGTGGGCCATGCCTGTCCATGTAGCTGCCAGCACAGGGAGAGAAGGGCAGGGCGCAATGGGGGCAGAGAGCTGTTGCTCCATGAGAAAGAAGACCCCATGAAGCTAATCTTTGTCAACTCTCAGTGAGTATGAGACAGCTCCAGTGTCATACGGCTGTCCTGAGAATGTGCTATTTACAGAGTTCTGAATACAAGACCTGCCATTTCATATATTTTCAATAACTGTTAAGCAGTCAGCCATTGCTCTTCATTGTAAGGTGTAATGGTAATTGTGGTTTATATTTACTCTCTCTCCCTGTCATTTTTGAGATAGCACTTCCCACTGTAGTCCAGGCTGGACTGGAGCTAAGGCCTTGAACACACAGCACATGTCCTGCCTTAGTTTCTTGAGTGCTGGGATTACTGATGCATACACCGTGCCTGGTTATTTTCTTTTTAATTTTGATTTTTAATTGTGTGCATGTGCATGTGCATGTGTGTGGTATCCAAGAAAGAAGAAGAGGGCATGTGATCCCTGGAGCTGGAGTTACAGGCTGTTGTGGGCTGCTTTACTTGGGTGTCCGGAATTGAACTCTGGTCACTTGCAAAGATCAATATGTGCTCTTATCTACAGAGCCATCTCTCCTTTCCAAGCCCCCTGGCTACCTTCAATCTTCGGCTACCATCAGAAGAAATTCTAGTGTTTTATTTTTAGAAAAAGGGGAGAACTAAATTCTGGTATAGGAAACAATTCACACACACAGTAAATTAAATTTTGTTCGTGTGAGGAGAGCTTGAGATGTTAATATTTCCCCCCTAGGCATCGTGTCATAAAGAAGGGACCGCCTCCCATCTCCATGACATCAGAAAGGGTTTTCCCCCATCCAAATGCTCCCGGCTTCTACCTAACCACACTGTATCCAGAACTACGACCCAAGCAGGACGGACCGGCTCTGGCAATGTGGAAAGGCCGCTTAGTACAATACTGGGATAATAACTCTTCCGCAGAGTCCATTGTCTGGGGGGAAACCGGACACAGCGAGAACCCTGAGTGTCATTCCCTAGGCGCCCTTGACCTATTTTCTCAATAAATACATCTGGGTGGAAAAATCTTGGAGATTTCAGATCGAAAGGATCCTGGTGTAGAGAATTGGACGCAGGTCAGATGAGAGCCACAGGGTGTCTCAGTCTAAACAAGCTTCCTGTAAGGGAGGGGGGGGGCTCTTCACCAAAGGAGGGTATGTTCTACAAAGGCTCACAGCAAAACCTGTGAAGGGCCCGCTCCCCTGCAGCCCAAGGTGGGGCCAGAGCTTGGGATCAGTCCCTGGAAAGGGACTTCGAGCCTCAGCCACAAGAAACTCTAGTATCTCGGTGCTGTGAAACCTGTGATAATGAAGAAAAAAAAAAAAAAAAACTACTAATGTCTAATGCTTGTGTATTATAAAATGTTTCCCATGTGAACAGAGACAAGGGAGACCATCCTACTTCCGAGTTTCCTCCACTTCCTCTTAAAGAATTGATGTGCATGCTGCCGCACACACAAAAAGCTAACACACAATCATTTATTCGTCACCTAAAATTGAATCTTCTGTTATTCCCTCCGGTTTCTATACTTTAGCGTAAATGAGAAACTTCTGTTTTTCAAGTTCAGTGGCATATAATGTTACTACAGTGTAATATATTGAAAACTATATTAGAGCGATCACAATCAGTAAAGGATACCCAAAAGTCTGTTATGAATAATATTTTTAAATATTACAGAAACACAAGTTTTATGTAAAAGATGTGGGAACATGACCAAAGGGCTGGTGCCTGGTGACCCTGGGTAGCTGTGAGGGGCTCCAGGAAGAGGCAGAGGGCCTTTCACCTCAAGTGCATTGTGTTCGCTCGATTGTTCCTGGATGTGACTGCACGCCTCCTGTGACAAACTTTTATATATTCAGTTCATAAGGCATGTTTATTCCCGCTGGATGTGATGACACAGCAATGGAACCCGATCTGGTGACAGGGTGAGTTGAGTGCTGTCCTCAGAGTCCCCCGAATCTGGATGTGTCCTTCTGCCTTGCTTTCCTGTCAGACATAATCTACACCACGTGCCAGGCAACTGTGCTTACACTGGCCTGTACTGAGACAGTTCTGGGAAAGGGCTGTTAATATTTAGTTCTGTTAATATTTAGTATTGCCTCTGGGTTTTTTATTTACATGTTTTTCTGAACTCAAACAACCTTCTTTAGCTTTGGACCATGGCTTTGTTATATCCATGTATAAAAGTACTCTGAAACTGAAGTAAGGATGTCTATAGCATTAGACTGTAGTCCAACCCATTCTCTAAGGTCCTCAAATGCTAGGTTTTATAGACGGATCTGCATAAATTGGCGAAGGTCAACAAAGATCCATATGAAACATTGTTATACTTCCAACTTAAAGATTTGCTGGTGGCAGAGCCAAATTCCTGGAATCCAGTTGCCTGGAGAAGTGATAAAATGGGGTCAAGACCAGGCTACAGAAACCCACAGAGACAGCTGACCTGAACAAGGAGGAGCTCATGGATCCCCAGACAGATAGCTGGGAAACCAGCATTGGACTGACTCAGATTCCCTTATGGAATCAGGATGTATCCCTGGTGCACAAAAGGACTTTGGGAGCACATTTCCCATGGAGGGATACTCCCTTAACCTAGAGGCAGGAAGGAGGGCCTAGTCCCTACTTCAAATGACTTGACAAATTTTGATAATCCCTCCTGGAAGGCATCACCTTCCCTGTGGAGTGTGTGTGGGGGGATGGGATGGGAGGGAGGATGGGGGGGCATGGGCAGGAGGGAGAGGGAACTGGAATCGATATGTAAAATAAGAAAAATTATATATATATATATATATATATATATATGATTATCAATGTCAGATAACAGAGAGCTATGCATGGGTCAGCAAAATGGCTCAGCCAGTAAAGGCAAGTCTGATGACCTGCACTCAAGGCCCAGAACCTTCATGGTGGAAGGAGAGAAGTAATCCCCAAAGCTGTCCTCTGACCTCCACACATGAGCCTTGGCTTGCGCCCCACACCCCAGCGTAAGATGAATAACTAATCCCATGCTTTCTGGAAACAGTACTGTAAAGATTCCAGATGCATGATGCTGGGAAGTTATTTACAGCTGTCTAAGTCTTCCTGCCTACAGTGACGGAGCTAGCAGTACTTTCGGGAAGAGAGTATCTGAGTGCTTCGTACGCAGTGGGCTCTCACTGAAGGTCAGCCATCCCCCTTGTTTACAGCATTCATTTCGGCACCTTTGAAAATATCAGGTATTTCCTTATGGCTTCACAACTTCTAGAAACTTTAGCTTTCCTACCAAATGGCATTTAGAAAACAAACAAAAGAAAACTTTCAAGTGAACTATTTCAAGCATACTGCTTCTCGCTCAGGATTTCCAGCTACACATTGGAGCAACGTAAACATTTCTGAAAGGAAAGTAAGTTGTTGGAAGTGTTGGTGTTGTATGCACATTCTCTTCTAGAGACAAAATGCCATTCTGGCTTTGACACCTTCCCCCATACTTCTCTGCTTTCCTTTCCAATGTAAGTGTCTGTAGATGCGAAAGAGCAAAGCCTTTACAAACCTAATGAGGACACATCGGCGATGATGAAGTAACCCCCGTCAGGGATGATGGGTTTCAGGCCAACACTGTTAAGTAAACGGACCATACGATCTCTTTTTACTTCTAATTCCTTTGGCAGAGAATTAAAGTAACATTCTGGGTCATCCATGCGCTTGATATCAATCCAAAGGGCCTGGGCCAAGGCTGCCTGTATGTTAAGATAAAAAAAAAAAAAAAACAAGGAAAGGAAGCATGGTAATGTCAATTATGGCTCCATTTTCTGGAAGAATAAGTAAAGGTCATCCAATTAAGATTTGTGGCAAGGAAGGCACTCAGGAAGTCACAGCCAGATTCCTGTGAACTGTCCAGCTCCGTAGGTTAATCTAATGTGACAAACAGAGGAAGTCATGGAAATCCCAACCAAAAAAAAAAAAAAAAAAAGAAAAGAGTCATAAAGATGGTGTACTTGGGAACAAAGACACATGAATCATTTTCTGCTGAGGAAAGCTATGGTCCAGCTTGTTAAGTCTCTGTCTAAAGACTAGCCAGCGGGGAGAAGAGGGAGTAATGTTTCCTGTTACCTGTGCAGGAGGAAATTAAGGCCAGCCTGCTGTGTAGACAAGCAAACATGAGGTCCTCGTTCTTCAGAGGAAATGCTAAAATCATTCTGATCCCAGCAAGGCGGTGTAAGTGACATGGGGACTAGAAACAGATAAACGTGTGGGCAACTCCTCTAGCAGTGGTGAGTCAGAGACATGGGTCCGGAATAACCCAGTCTTATAAAGAGCAAAGGACTTAGTGTTGTGCACCCCTCCCCCACCCCCATGTGGTGAATTGTTGGTCTCCAAGGTCTGGGCATTAGGAGACATGACCTTCAGGGATGACTTGCACAGAAGACCAGAGGCCCCAGGAATGGTACGAGGGCCATTTCCATCATGGGAGAACACTTCCATCATGGGAGAACACACTGAAATAGTGTCACCAGTGGGGCAGCAGGTCCTTATCCGCTGTGATCTCCCTGGCTTTATAAGCTACACAGTCTCTAGTTCTTTGTTCCAGCAACCTTCACAGACTAAGCCGGTAAGGACCATGCTGGTGACTCAGAAACATGTCAGGTCAGGACAATAAAAACAAGTCACACAGTACAAAGACCTGCCAAGCAGGGGGCCAGAGGGCTGACAGGCAAAGTGAGCTTTTTCTGTAAGAGCCGGGGACAGAGCGATTAACAACATAGGCCTGGCCTTGGCTTTTATAAAACCTCCAATTCCTGCATATTGAAGCGGGGAGTGCAGAGGTGAGGTGGAAAGGGCAGGGGGGAAAATCTGTTCTGCGTGACAGAACTGTAGCAAAAGACAGAGCATGATGAGGTGGGGGAGGGGGCACATCACAGAGAAGGCTGTGGCAGGAGAATTTAGCAATTAAACGGAATTCGTGATTCTTCAACACCAGGAAATCAGCATCCAGTTTCTAAACTGAGTGATTTCCCCAAAGTATAGAATAAGACACTTCAGGAAATGTTCATCGTATATACCTTTGTGAGCAATTTGTTGATCCGCTGTAGAAGTCTTTGCCCCAGAAAACTCAAAGCACAGAGACACAAACGTCTGTGCTGAGTATACCTGGATGCCGGTTCCTCCCACAACTGGTTATGCTGCCCAGTGGCAAACACCACTGACAGCTACATACATCCAGGGTCCTCACCTCAGTTCAATCTACTGATGTTTCTCTCGTGGAAGTCGTCTCTTTCCTTCTCCCTCAGCCAAGCACCAGACTCCTTTTGATAACACACAATCAAAAGTGCTATCTATGGCTTCCCAGTCCCTCAGTCCTAACAGCGATGTGCATGGCCCAGCATGATGTGAGAGGCCAGCTATCACTCAGATCTGAGACTCTCTTTCTCTTCCTCCCTGGTCTCCTCATCCCAGGAGCCCTGTGATGGGAGATTTCGTGCTGTAAATATGTTTCTCGTTGGTTAATGAATAAAGCCCTGTTGGGCAATAGGAAAGCAAGATAGGCGGGACTAGGAGACAAAGAGGATTCGGGGAGAGGTAGGAGGAGATTCAACATGTAGAGACTTGAGGGAGAAGAAGGTCCAGACCCTCTCAGTATGATAAGACAACCTGGAAACGCTTAGATTAATAGAAATGGGTTAATATTTAAGACAGAGCTAGCCAATAAGAAACTCTAGTAACAGGCCACAGCTTTATATCTAATGCAGTGTCTTTGTGTGTTATTTGGGGCTGGCGGGAAAACTGCTCATAATAGCCATGCTACCGATGGGCCTTTGCCCTTCCTATTCTCAGTCCACAGGGCTCTTCTCTAGGTTAAACAGCACTCATGCGCTGTTTTTTCCATGAGGCCTACCCAGTATGACATCATACACTCGCCAACCTGGATCCCTAAAGCCAATGGAATTATTTCTGTTGGGTGTCCAGACACCTTTGATGAGAAAGGATCAATCAAGTTCAGTGGAGCCAATACTTTTACTCTCTTGTGAGTTAACTCCTTGTAGAAGTAGAACACCTTTGTAGTATTTGGGGGTATTCATAGGAGAATGACAAATAGATGTTTCTAGAAATGTGTACAGAAATAGCAACAGTCTAATAAAGGATACACATTAAGGGTCAGCTATGATGGTACCTGCCTGCTATCCCATGCTTGGGAGGTTAAGGCATGGCAGTCACTGTTCTTGAGAAAAGACTGACCTGGTAGATAGAGTCTACCATGTGTCCCCGGGGACTCTGCACATACAGTTAGCATTTTGCCAGTTTCTCATGGACCATGTAAGAGCTCTTTTTAGGAAACACAGGAGTTTCTCCCCTTTCTTACAAAATATATTAGCATAAATACACACTGCCATGTGTCTTGCCTTTAAAAATACAAACAACAGTAACAACCAAACAAACAAATGACTTCACATTATGTTCTGGAACTCCTCCTTTATCGGTTATACCATTTGTTCTCTGCATGCTACCCACCCCCCACAGGGTCTTCCTGTATTGTCCAGCCAGACTTTGAAGTCTCTGTGTGGTCAGGACCAGCCTGGAACGCATGACTCTCCTGACTGAAGCCTCAAGTGCTAACATGACAGGCACGCGCCACCACACCCAGGACATTTTCTTTCCTTTAAATCGAGTATGAAGAATGACCAAAGTCGTCTGTCCCTTAATATGCGTTATCCTGTGTTACCAGAGGAGCTTTGTAGATGTGACATAAATTACGGATCTTGAAATTAGGCTTTATCCAATGACTATGTGTCTGCTTCCAAATTCCCAAACTGTGCTAGAGAAGGGCTTGTTCATGAAGAAGCTATCTCGTTCCTGCACGCACAAGGGCCAACACATACCTGTAAAGGAGTTGCACAAGTGTAAAAAGTGTTTTGTTGAACAGTCTGTAAGTGTTTTACCAGGTGTTTAGGACCAATGCTCCAGCCAAGCTGGGAAGGGAAAAGATAAAAGCAGATTTCAAAACAGAATCTAAGAATATACATCATATCTAACAGAGTAATTAGTGTAAATGACAAACATAAGCATTGGCGATTCAGAAATGTCTCCGGAGGAAAGAAGGGCAATGCTTGTATTTTGTGAAGTTCCCAGCTCTGTCTTCACTATTCTGCCTACCTTCTGAAGGTAAACAAAACCTGTGGGTGAGTGAGCCCTTCCCCTCTGCGATGTGCCACTTCTGGTGCTCATGAGAAATAACAGTGAGCAGTTGCACTTGCCTTAAGTACAGGCACAAGTAATTCTGCACTACAGCTCAGAGGATTCCCCTACAATCAGAACACACGGATTTCTAATTCTCCTGGTTTTCCAGCAGTCCCTTAGCCCTGTCTAGTGTCTGTAAGGCTCAAGGAGAACTGAATTTCAATTGGGGACTCTTTTGTTTTGTGAGACAGTATCTCCTATAGCCCAGGCTAGCCTTGAACTCACAAAAAAGAATGTTGGCTTCCTGATTTTCTCGCCTCCACTCCCTGTGGCTCAGGATTACAGATCCTGATGCACACACTGTCATGATCAACAGTACCATGGTTGGTGCATGGACTCTGAAGGTGGGCTGCCTTTCCTGGCTTGAGTGTATTGGCAATGTAATCTCATGCAAAACAGTAAAAGTTACTGTGACTTAGTTTTGTAATCTGTAAAACAGGGATGAAAACCTTGCCTACATAACACTGTGCTTATGAGAATGAAAAGAATTAGCATGCTTAAAAACACCGAGTCTTTGGGCCACAGTTAAAGCCAGGGTATTAGCCAGTGTTGCTTTCCTCTTTTAATAGGCGAACATTCTTTGTAAAGAAAAAAGTAACATTGGTTGATCACTCATAAAATTTTAAATTAATTGATTTTCCTTTCTTTTAAGGAAATTACTTGGCCTTAAAAAGGATGAAACATGGGCCAGGGATATGGTTCAGAGGGTAAGAACTTGCTTGCTGCTAAGCTTGAGGACGCAGGTTCAATCTCTGGGATCCACATGTTGGAAAGAACCGACTCTTATGCATTGCCCTCTGCCCTCCACACATGCACCACAGCACACATCCCCCAGTCCCCAAGTAAATACATGTAATTAAAAATAAAAGGTTGAAGCTTGACATGAAAGCCAAACAAATCAGCAGATATGGAAAAGTATAAAATCCCACATATATTTTGTATGCATATAAAATGCAAAATTGTCTACAGAAAATAAAGTATGGGTTTATTTTCTATTTCCAAGACAGGGTTTCTCTGTGTAACGGCCTCCTCTTTCTGGAGAGTAATGGGGACTGAACCCAGAGTCTTTCCCAGGCAAAGGATGTGCTCTGCCACTGAGCCACACCCCCCCAGTCCGGCAGCACCCTCCCCCCTCACCTTCCAGCCGGTCACACTGAAAGTCTTGCCAGCACTTCCTATTGTTATTGTTCTCTCCCACATACCAGGAAACGTGGCTGAAAAAGAAAAACAAATAGGTAATTAATTGACTAACATGTTTCCTTTTCAACTACGTTTCATCTAGTGTAATCTAAAAACAATGCAGACAACAGGAACCCAGTGGAAGCAGAGATACTAAATAGTATCAGTGTAGTTATTTCAGTCTTTATTTTAGGTAATGTAAATTTAAGCTAAAAATGTTATAGTGCCTGAAAGGATTGCAGTGTTGGACCAAAACAATATGAAGATAGATATGACACCTCTATTACATTTATTTATGCACTTATTTCTCCATCTGTCTGTCTGTCTGTCTTAGGGTATCTATGGCTGTGAAGAGACACCATGACCATGGATGGCATCTCAGCTAAGTGTGTGCTCTACCACTGAGCCACCGTGCAGCACCGTGACCCTATGGGCTGGTTTTGGTTCCTAGGTCTGTTTCTCCACACCCCCTGGAGCAATGGTTCTCAGGTGTGCAGCTTCATTGGGAACATTGACGGAAGGCAAAGCAGGTCTACTGATGCCTTGCACTCTGTCTGTGTCTGTTTTGCTTACAACGCCATTGAGATAAAAATGCCATACCGTATAGCCCAGCCCACTGCACAGTCATGACTTCCTTTAATTTCAGGAGATTCTTTCCAACCAAAGGCAGTGAGCCACCAGGCCATTCTTGACTGATATCTTTCAATGTCATTCATTCACATTTGTCCATCGAATCTGTCTTAGTAACTAAGATTGACAAAGGACCCAAAGAGGGATATGTACCTCCTGCCTCTAAAGAGCTTGAGGTCTAGCACAGGAGGTACACCAAGGTGGCAGCAGTGATGTGTGCTAGGGGGGTGAAGTAGGGGCAGGCAGGGCTGTTAGCCAGTGACAGAAGAGGAACGGAGGTCTCCTGGGTCAGGGGTGATTTGGCTAAAATTTGGAACACCGCGTCAGCTTAGGCAGGCAGCTGTGCAATTACAATCTTGAACTACAAATCCTTTGCGCTGCCTCTGTGTATATGCTGAACGACATTAGTTCTCTTCCATGGATCTAGCTGCCAGCAAAATTTGGGTGACTTCAAAAAACACTCCTTCATAATCTGAGCCTAATCATTCAGCCGGCAATTCCACTTACTCTAGATGGGGTCTCCCCAGAGTCCTGGGAACACACTTAGCAAAAGCGTAAACACATACTGTATCTAGGTAAGTCTTAGTGCTGCTTGGTAACCTGGGCTGGAGTCAAGACAGGAATCTGAGTGTTTCCTTCTCACTTAAGCTGGAGAGCTCGTGCTTCATAGTTCTAGTTTATCTAGCCCAGGCTGGCCTTGAACCTGAGATCCTCCTGCTTCAGCCTCAGGAGTGGTATGGTTTACAGGTGTGTGTCACCATGATTAGCTGGAGTTTTCATTTCTTCACAGCCCCTATGCATCACCCAGGCTGGTAGACACATGACCTGGAGCTTATTAATCTACTTTGTAATTCAGTCACAGAGCCAATTCCTTTTGCTGTAGTTCTCCAAGTATAATTATGGCCATACTGGGGACTCAAGTTAATGTGCAGAAATTTGAAAAGTCACCTTAGGGTTTCATCCACAAGATTTTCTTAAGCCTTTGACAGTTGCTGTTACTTACCTGATCTTAAAAGTTACAGCTCTTGAGAGTTAACAAGAGGATTTAGTAAATGAATATCAATGATCAAGTCCAAAAACTCAAATGCATTTGCTGCAAGAGCTCTGTTATAGACCTATGCACATAACTGGGACTTGAAAAGTATTATTTTATGCATATGATGCTTTGCTCACATGTATGTCTGTGTACTAAAGTAATGCCCACAGAGGCAAGGGGAGGATGTCAGATCCCCTGGAACTAGAATTACAGAGGATTGTGAACTACCACGTGGATGTTGGGAATGGAACCTGGGCCATCTGGAAGAGCAGCCAGTGCTCTTAACCTCTGGACCGTCTTTCCATCCCCCAAACTGGATTAAAACAACAACAGCAATGTATTCTTATGTTCAGTTTTCGGTCAGGCAGAATCACTTCTAGTTCCATTATGCCCCTGTTCTACAATGCAGGGCACTGAGGTTTCAAGGGCCTCAGAGCTTTTTTGCCTTCTCCAAGAGTTTTACCCCTTCTCCAAGGCTTCTGATGTGGTGGAATAACTGTGAAGATGTGTCACTCGAATTGGTTTAATAAAAAGCAGAACAGCCAATAGTTAGGCTGGATTTGGAGGCCAGAGGGAATGCTGGGAAGAATGCCGAGAGATGGAGGACAAGCAAGACATGCAGGAGAAGAGACAACAGTGACGAGCCACGTGGCAGCACACAGATTAATAGGAATGGGTTAATTAAATTGTAAGAGCTAGTTAGAAACAAGCTCTCGGCTGAGCTTTCATAACAGATAATAAGTCTGCATGCTGTGATGTGGGAGAGGCTGGTGGGACAGAGAGACTTGTTACATTCTAACCCCCTCAAGCACTTCCTTTCTCCTTCCATCTACCGGAACAATTATAGCACACGTGACTTCTGTTTATACACACATGTGCATCTTTACCTCCTCCTTTCCATGTCTCCTACTCATCTTATCCAGCAAAGACATTTGATTGCCTGATGTTCTAACTTGCTTTCTGCTCTCGCGAAAGGGTTTATTTGGCTTATACTTTCCCATCGCAGTGCAACACCAAAGAAGTCAGGGCTGGGACTCATTCCCAGCTCAGGGAGCACAGGACAAACCACGCAGGTATGCTGCTCGCATGGGGACCAGGGCCACTGGCCTAAGATGGCACTGCCCACAGTAGGCTGCATTCTTATGTCAGGCAGTCCTTCGTGGAAGTGATCAGGTGCCTATGCAATGCAGGAAATTCTTCCCTTGAGGTTACCTCTATCGACTCTGGGCTGGGTCAAGTCCTACCATGTGTGGGACCCTAACCTGGAAAATGGCAATTTAGAAGAGACCAACGCAAATAACAATCTTATAGTTCTTGTAATTTAGAAGCGAAGCGCATAGATTCTGTTAAAGATAGAGAGGGAAAAACAAAATAAAAGTGAAGGAAGTGAATGCTGGACGTGAGGGAGTGTGACATGGGGACAAAGACCTGAGGGAGTCATGTGGACATCAGGGGGATAGTGTCTCTATCAAAGGAAAGACAGGTGCAACATCCCAAGCTTACCCCACCCCCACGGCTGCGAGCGGCAGCCACGCCAGATGATACTGTAGTTATTTGGGCGAGATAGGCTAGTGGCGACTGCAAAATCCAACCGAGGACAGCCTAACAGTAGCTTGCCATTCTATGATTCCTTGCTGTTATTTAAGCAACTCGTGCAGCACTGTCATGAACCTCTTCATGGAAACTTCTATCCCAGTGTCTTACACAGCACGGAGCAGCAGGGTTCCCGGTAAGAAGTCAGAGACAGGCACAAGAACTGTTCTACTCACTTCCCATATCCACATTGTGATCTCAAGTCCCTTCCCCCATTTGAACATCTGTTCATCAAGCTGGACGGTAATCCCTCAAGCACCATCCTTCTAAATACTTGCTGTAAGTGCTCACGTAGACACCCGTCACAGACACTATTTTAAAACTGGCCTGGGACCCTTTCCAATCAGTTGTTCCGCGATATGCCCAAACCCTTGCAGCCCTGAGACTGCCGGAATCAGTACCTATTTTTATATGCTTATGTCCAGTATAGACCAGCCATTCATAAACCTCATCACTGATGCACAGGGTGTCATACTTGATGCAAAGGTCAGCAATGATTTGCAGCTCTTCTCTGGTATACACCTACACATATTAAAGGAAATTCCGGTTATTCCACACATGAGAAAACAGTGACTCCCAGCCCATGTCAGCAAAGAGGCTCACTTACCTTGCCAATGGGGTTATGTGGAGTATTTAATATAATGGCTTTAGTTTTGGAACTAAATTTACTTTCCAGTTCTTGGGGGCTGAATGTCCAGTCAGAGCTAGACCATGTCATCCCATCAGTGGGTTTCTAAGCATGAAGAAGAAGAAGAAGAAGGATGTGATTTGAACAAATTAAGATGTGAGTTGGACAAATTAATTCATGTTCACTGTCTTACAAACAACCTAGCAAAGAAAAAAGACGATTAAAGACAGACCTGGCAAAGGCAACTGAATATATGGCTAAGGAAGAACACAAACACAAATAATTGGGCTCCAATCCAACCTCAAGAACCCAGAGGATTCGAATCTTATGTACACACTGTCAGCACAACAGCTGTTGTTCCTTCCCAGAAACAGGCTCTATCCATGGGCAACATGTGACACCGTAAGTCTGTGAGTCCCCTTAGCTACTGTATTCATTGCTTTCGAAAGACTTAGCTACATCTCCAGTGACAAAGACATTGGCATTTTAAAACATTCTGCAAGCCTGTGGACGGACTGGGGACTTACAGATCTCAGGGGAATAAACACAGGCGTTGCTCCGGCCATTCTCACCATGGGCTCGTAACAGTCGTAAAAAGGCACCATTATGATCACCTACGAGAAAAGCAAAGAACAACCCAGGGTTCAGCCAGCAACTCACTGCGTGAATGCAGCAGGCACCTGGTATGTGGGAGGCGCTGTGCTAAGAGATGAGATGCAGCAATGGAAAAGACAGGCCAGGCCTTTGTGGAGAGAATGTCTGAGTGCAAAAAGAGCCTGGGTAAAGACGTCCAGGGAGTCAAGCCCGGAGTTCAGGCTCTCGGGAGATCTAAGGATAGACTTAGAGTAGGGACATCCTAAATTGTCAATTATTATAGGTGCACACCCAGACTTATCTCGGGCCTGGACTGGTCACCATATTTCAAAGGGATGTTCTAAGCAAAACCAGTAAGGATGGTTTCTGTATTTCAAGTTAGAAAACACAATATAGGAGAAACTTGATAGGAGCAGGGTGTCAGGAAATGACATTGCAATTATATCTGAATGGGGTGCTAAGTTTAGCCAGTATCTTGAGAGTAAACTTGTGAGTGAATTATGGATGTTGTTCTTGGTGATGCCCACAGCACCCCCCCCCCCCGCCCACATGTGTTATTTGGAACCTTTTTTTTTTTTTTATAACCCCCAGTTTTTGGGTCAGATTTCTCACCTCTCAGACTCTTCTCCAACCACCCTTCCTACAGTTTCAGGTTGAGCAGCTGATCTGGTCTGCTGCTATCACCCCAGCCCGTAGACCCAATTTAGGGCCTTTCTGCCATTCCATTATCTCTGGTGGTTTGAGTGAGGACGGCTCCACGGGCTCATGTTTGAATGCTTGGCTCCAAGTTTGTGGAACTGTCTGGAAAGGACTAGGAGGTGTGGCCTTGTTGGAGGAAGTGTGTCAGCGGGCTTCCAAATGGCTGCTCTCTCCCACTCTGCTCTCTCTGTGCTTCATGGTTGTTGTTCTAATGTAAAAGCTCTCACCGAGGCTCCAGCATTGTGACTGTGTGTCTGCCTGTCGTCATGCTCTGCACTGTGATGGTCATGGTCTCCTCACCCTCTGAAACTAACAGGCTCCCAGTAAGACTCTTTTGTAAGTTGCCTTCGTTATGGCATTTTGTCACAGAAACAGAAAGGTAACTAAAGCAACCTTCTTCCTTCCTTTCTTTCTTCCAGGGAAGTAAGATCTTATCTAGCCTGGCCAATCTCCAGCTCACCGTGGAGCTGAGATGGGCCCTTACCTCCTGGTTTCACCTCTCAAGTTTTGGGATTGCAGGCACACGCCACTACATTTGCCTAGCTTTTTGCTTTTACACAGTTTTTGATTACATTGATTTGTTTATTTGTTGTGTACATGCTCTTGTGTACCATGGGGCACTTGTGGTAGTCAGTAGCTGGAAGCTTTTCTGTGTCCCACCTGGTCCTGCAGCCCCAAAAAATAATCATTCAAAGGCTTAGTATTAATTATAATTGTCCGGCTGATGGCTCAGGGTTATCACTAACTAGCTCTTACATTTAAGTGCCACATGGTTTGTGGCTTATTACCTCATTTTTGGCAGGTCTTGCTTCCTCAGCAGCTGGTGTCTGCTTCAACTCCGCCTTCTTTCTCACTGTATCTCTACTTGGATTTCCTGCCTTGTTCTATTCTGCCTGGCTATTGGTCAACTCCACTTCTTCATTCATCAGTGGTAAGAATACAGAAAGACATCCCTCTTCAGGACTCAGAGGACAACTTGCCAGTGTTGGTTTTCTCATTCTGTCATGTGGGTTCTGGAGATTCAAGTCAGAAAATGGCCCTATCCAGGGAGAAGTGGCTCCCTTGCCAGCCCAGGGAGCCACTTCCCCAGCCCATGCTTACATATCCTTTAAGACCTAGCCCAATGTCATGAGAATGCCATATAATTCTAATTTCTGCTCTTACATTAACGCCTGCGTGAGAGTTCGCTGAATATAGAAATTGTTTTCTCATCTTTTGCGTGTATAAACAACAGTGTATGTATGCTCAGTTGAATAAATTCACATGACTGCTACTCTAGATGAAAGAATATAAGCATTTTTACAAGCACGCACACACACACACACACACACAGTCTAATGTTTTCATTGAATCTGCATGTATGTATGTGTGTGTGAGGGGTGCATGCCAGCCACATACATAGTTAGGTCAGCCTGGGCTAGAGGAGACCTGTCTCAAAAACAAACAAGAAAAATAACTAACCAACCAACTAATAACTAACGAAGAATGCTACAAAGTGAACAAATCTCAAAGACATAATAATGGATGAAAAGAAAAAAAAAATTCAATAGCCTGTACCATATGATTCCAACTTCTATCCAGCAAAAGAGCCACAAGAATGAACCAAGGTGCAGATTACAGTATAATGGTTAACCCTGGGAGACATACACCAGGAAATGACTCAGAGTGTCTGGACCCAGGCACTTTATGTGCACTATACTTATATGGCAATTTATCCCAGTCTATTACATTCAAGGCTTGTCCACTTCATTGTACCACCATTGGACTTCAACATGGATTGAAAGTGGAAGAGAAAGGAACAAAATGAGGAGAAGGCTCTAACTCGGGACAGAAGTATTGAAGCAGATTATATAGCAGTGCTCATGTACTTACTTCATCTCCCGGGTCAACCAGTCCTTGAATGGCATTAAAGAGAGCTCCATATCCTCCGACTGTCACAATAATTTCTTCATTTGGATCAATTCGATTTTGATAAATTTTTTCATATAAAGAGGACAGAGCTTTCACAAGTGATGGATGACCCTATTGGATTAAAGATGAAGACAAAACAAAAACCCACCTTGAAATTGGTTATGAAAGCTACTTCTTTGAGGTAATGTAACTCTAAAATGTAACAGTTTTTAAAGTCGGGTTTAATGTCTAACATTATCCCTATCTTTGTATTTTTAGAGATTGATTTTGTATGTATGGGTATTTTGTCTATGTGTGTGCATGTGCACATGAGTGTAGTGGAGGTCAGAAAAAGGTGCTGGCCCCTTTGGACCTGGAGTTACAGGCAGGTGTGACAGATTGTGCAGTTAAGCTACCATGTGAGTGCTGGGAATTGAACCCAAGCCCTCCGCAATAGCAGTAAGTGCTTTTAACTGAGTCATCATCCATCCAGCCTCCGAATCTGAATTTCCAAAATAGCAATAAACTTTAAAAGCCTTTGCACTTTGAATGTCTCTATGAATGGTTATGAAAACTTGGTGCTGATTGAAAAGTATCCACAAAAGAAAGATTTGGAATACAATATATCAAAGCATTTGTTTTGAATAGAAATGAATTCCCTCCCAGTATATTTATAATAGCACAAAATTAAATGCATGTAGAAATGAATGTAAAAACCGTGCATTTGCCATTTGCCAGAATCTGCTTTATTCAATTGCCAGGAGGTTCTATCTGCCATAGACTAAGAGAAGGAAAACCAAATTCACCAAAGACATACATGCTACTGTTGCTGATGACAAATGCTACCAGGAAGCAGAGTACTATCCATTTATGAGAAAAGAATAGTTACTAAGGACAGTGATTCCCAGAAGATGAGAAAGAGAATGACAAATGCACAGAATGTGAGATATGTAGTAATTATCATACTAAAACTTTCTCTTTAGGGGCTGGGGCATAGCTCAGTACTAAAGCACTTGTCTAGTAGGTATAGGGCTTTGGGTTCAACCCATACACAGAAGTAAGTAATTTTTATTTTAGCTAACATGCAATAATTGCACATATTTAAGGGGCAATGTGATACCTAATATATGACCACAGTATATAGATAAAACCAGTAATTAGCACTTTCCTCCAGCATTTCTTTGAAACCTTCAAGCTCTCTTCTATTATAGTTCTTCAAATATATAACAAGTTATTGTGAATTGTAAACCCTGTCTGTGCTGCAGAAGACTAGAAAGTTTTCTTTTCATCTCACTAGGTCTCAGCATCTGTTATTTAATCTCCCTTTCCCTCCATCCGCTTCCTCTTCCTAGCCTCTACAGACTACCCTTCAACTCTCATCTACTTCCAGATCTACATAGTTTACTTTCCATACAATACAAAATAGCCAGTGTTTGGTTACTCTGTGTCTGCCTCATTATTGCAGTTAACTTGATGTTTGCTGGTTCTGTTTTGCTGCAGTTGTCTGGTTTTCACTCTGCCTGTGGCAGAATAATAGTCTACTGGGGAGGCTAGCATATTTTTGTCTATTCTGCCGATGGCCACCTAGACAGATTCAGTATCTTAGCTGCAATGAACACCACTTCAGCACACATGGGTGTGGTGTCTCTGAGATGCTGACTTCATTTCCTGTGGACATAAATCCAGACATTTTTATGTCCATTGTTTTGCTCCTTTTAATTGTTTTAATTTTTTCATTGTAACAAATCTCTGTCCTGCCAGCTCCCAAACAGTGACATGGAGACGTATCAATTGGAAAAGCTCAGCCTATAGTTTAGGCTTGTTTCTAACCAACTCTTGCAACCAAAATTAACTGCCACCTGACTCATGGCTGCCACCTCTCCTCCTGCACATCCTGCTTGCTCTGCATCTTCCTGTGGCTAGATTATCTGCTCCTACCTTCCCTGTCTGTCCAGAAGTCCCGCCGACACCTCCTGCCTAGCTATTGGCCATTCAGCTCTTTATTAAACCAGGCCCAACAATACATTTTCACAGTATGCAAATATCCCACCATTTATTGTGTGTCTTGGGGGAAGGTATCCATGCTGCATTGCATGTGGAGGCTAGAGAATTACTGGGAAGTTGGTTCTCTCCCATCATCATGTGCGTGCAAGGATCAGACTTAGGTTGTCAGCCTTAATAAATGCCTTCACCCACTGGGCAAGCTTGCCAACTCTACTCATGCTGTCTTTTGTGACATTAGCACCAATTTACAGTGATATCAAGGGTGCAGAAGAGATTTCTTTCTCCCTCTTCTTCATTTGGTATGTTTTGATTTTTAGATAGCCATTCTGCCTGTGCCGAGATGATTTCTCATGACTTGTTTGCATTTTCTTGATTAGTGATGGTAAGGGCTTCTCTATACACTTGCTAGCCTTTTTTGTTATATAGCCTTCCCACTCTTCACTCATTCTAGACATTCATCCTTTGTCTGGTGAGTACCTTTCTCCCATTCTATAGGTTGTCTCTATTCTGTTATGCTTCTTTGAAATACACAAATTGCTTAGTTTCATAAGATCACATTTATCTATTTTTGCTATTGTTATCTGTACTTTGGGAGTTTATTAAAAAAATCATAGCCTATACCAATACTTGACCTATTTCCCTTATATTTTCTTCTACAACTTTCATCGTTTCAGGTCTGATATGGGGGCTTATAGCTGATTGGTTAGTGAGTGGGCTGGCTAGTTTTCTGTTAATTTGACATAAGTTTGAGTCATTAGGGAAGAAGGAAACTCAAGTGAGAAAATACCTGCTTCCTAGATTGGCTTATGAACAAGCCTATGGAACAATTTTTTTGATTGACAATTGATGTGGGAGGGCTCAGCTCACTGTGGGCAATATTACCCTTGATCTGTTGGTCTGGGATGCTATAAGAAAGCAGGCTGGGCAAGCCATCAGGAGCAAGCTAGTAAGCGTGGCCTTTGCATAGTTCCTGTCCCCAGATTCCTGCTTTTAGTTCTTTTCCTGATTTCCCTGCATGATAAACTAGAAGTTCTAAGACGAGAAAGCCCTTCCCCAGTTGCTTTTGACCATGGTATTTTACCATAACAACAAACATCCTAATGAAGACAGGGAGGCCAGCAGTGAGACCATGAGAGCCCTGTGACCATCTTGATCAGGTCTTGCTTTTTCCCCCTGTGCTCTTATCCCCAAAGCAAAACCCTGTGTGGGCTGTTTGGACTTTCACAGACAGACTCACAATGACAAAAATGTAAAGACTTCTTTCCATATCCTGTTTCTCCCCCATCTTCACACTCTCAGGGGAAAGGAAAAGAAGATGCTTGGTCATATGACAATCACATGGCTCTCAGGCATGGCAGACAAATGTCTATAGTTCAAAGTCAATCTAATCGAAAAAGTCTGGATGCCTGGGTATTTCAGCACAGATGATGGATAAGGGGTTAGAGAGGCGAGGGAGGAAGCAAGCGTCTAGTCAGAAATAGTTTTTTTCGTTTTTGTTTTTAAGAAGCCAATGCTAAGAATACAGGAGTGTTAAAGAAATAGCAAAGTTAATGAGAGGGTATTTCCCCTTCCCTTTATGTCCTGAGCTCTCATTTCAGAATAGCAGTCAATGAAGGGCCAAACAGATCTGTGAAAGGGCTGGAAGTTGGGGAAGGCACATCCTAAGAGGTAAGAGTAAGGGGCTTCTGAGTTTCTAGGTTGGGACAGTGGTCCTAGAAAGAGGGACACACACACACACACACACACACACACACACACACACACACACCAGTTTGAGTTATCAGTATATGCCCCACAAGGCCCTGATAGACTCACAAAGCCCCTTGTGTACTGATTCAGGTTGTCAGCCAATGCAGCCTTTGATAATTCTTCCTTTACATAGGAAGGAGGGGATATGTCTGGAAGGCCTTGTCCAAGATTCACAACAGAAGGGTCTGCAGCCAACTTAGTGAATTCAACCCTGATTAAAAAAGAAAACAACTAAAATTAGAAAATACTATAATTACAGAGTTAACTTCAATATTGTATGTTTTCAGGCAGTGGTGACCCATGCTTTTAATCCTAGCATTTGGGAGACAGAGGCAGGTGGATCTCTGAGTTTGATGCCAGCCTGGTCTACAGAGTTCCATGACGGCTTAGGCTACACAGAAAAATACTGTTTTGAAAAACAAAAATCACATGTTCTAATTATAGAAAAAAAAATAGGACTTAGTCTTAAAGATGAAAAACAATGAGTTTCCAACCAAATGTTACTACCCACAAGATGAATTTATCTAGCAAATAATGGTTGAACAAATGACCCTATCTTTCTTAGAGACCTTAATTTAATAACATTAATATTTGAGTCATACACACACACACACACATATATTATACATGTGCCTGTAAATGTCTGTAATCCCAGCACTGGGGAGGCTGGGGCAAGAGGATCAAGAATTTAAGGCCAGTCTGGGCTTTATACATAGCAAGGCCCTACTTCAAGAAAAAAAGAAAAAAGAAAAGGAAGCGATTGTAAATTTCATGAACTCATCAGTCAAACTTAGTTTCGATGTTCTCTGCCATGTATCCAGTGCTAGTCCAGAGACTGGCTTTCCCACATTTAATTGTGAGTAATGGGAGGAATCAAATGAACAGCCTCATTATTGGACTATGGCTGAAGCCAAATCCAATTTAAGGGACCACAGGAAACTTCACCGCATGATCATTCATATGAGACACTCACCACACATTGCTGTCCAGGCCTTCAATTCGTTTGGCATTTTTGAATTTCAAAGCCATTTTCTGAAAGATATTATTGAAAGTTTCTTTTAATTAGTCAGAATTCAAAGAGGTCAGTAAACATTGGGCCATTCTTCCTTTTTTTCTCCTGTTATCTTGTAAATGGTACCACGGTAAGAAGTTCTAAGGGATTGTCAACTCTTCCCCACTGTCCTGCAGAATGCTTTTTCTTGTGGCCCTCATTTCTTTACAGTCTCACCCAAGAACAAAAATACCACCCCAGCAGGAAGAGCTAACCCATTTAAGGGCTTGAAACACATACAAGAGCTCAATAATAGTAATATCAATGCAAAAGAGAATCTTGAGCCAAGCTATGAAATTTGCATAACCATAATTCTATAAGGAAGTTAAAAACTCAAATGTTTTCAAATTCTTAATAATGGGTTAGAGATAATGCTAGCTAACATTATGAAGCAATTTGTGTGAACCAGGCACCATTCTGTGTGTGTTACATGACTAAAATTTTAACATCCACATCAACCCTATGTAGCATTATAAGGTACCATGAAGATGGAGATGAAAAAAACTTTTCCATCTGCCAGAGTTCATAAAACCATCTCAAACAGGCTCAGCCCAAGATCTGAGCTCATGACCTTCTTCTACAGCCCATACTTACACTATCTTCTACTATCTCTCACATACTAAGACCTTTTAGAAAGCACGCCTGGAACTTGCTGCTTGAAATATAGTAGTCATCCTCATTAGTCACTTAACACCAAGCAAGCTAAGACTGTAGTAGGGAAATATCAGAAGTTATAATTATCATACCATACACAATATCTCAGTTCTTTCAATTCAAAAGCTACATTTTTGACTATTTCTCAAAACTATTGAATTAGTGTTGAGTTCGTTGTTAGCAAGCTGGTGGAAATAAAAATGATTGACAGCATTTTTGCAAGGAATTTTGTAATAGAATATTAAAGCAATTTTAATTCTATCTGGGAGAGAGATAATGATAATGGTTATTACAGAGAACATTGTTCTCTCAGTCTATTTTGAACAATAATACCAAAGAAATAGCTCTCTCAGCCTCTTATTTGTAATCTTTGAAACGCCAGGGAAGAGAATCATAAGCAAATTCTCTAGAGGCTACCACGCTTCTAGAACAGCATTTTGATGAAGTCCCACCTGAACAGAGTGCTACTCTAGAGAATACAACTATAAAACTCAAAAGACCCAGCAGGACAGAAAAGACTACTTTCTTATAAAGGCCTTCCCCTCTTTCCAAAATTGAGTTGAGAACGTAATGGTTCATTCAGCATGTGACCAGAAAGAAACGCAAAGTAGATTCAGATGAATGAGAGGGTTGGGGAAATGGCTTAGTGGGCAAATCACTTTCTGTGTAAGCATGAGGAGCTGAGTTCCTGTCCCAAGCACCATGTAGTAGTCAGGCTCTGACATGCTTGTAACTACAAGACTGTGGGACAGATACAGGGCGATTCCAGGGGCTCCCAGTTCAGCCAGAACATCTCAAACAGTGAACTCCAGACCAAGCAATGAGAGAGAGACCCTGCCTCAAAAATAAGATGGAGAACAACTGAGAAAGAGACCGGCATTGACCTTAGGCCTCCAAATTCCCGTGAGCACGTGCACCCTTCCCATAGGCACTGTTCCCCTGCAAACTAAAACAAAGAAATACAACGTGGGCACAAAGTAAGACTAGCTAGTTAGTTGAGATAAAAAGGCATGTCACTGTCCCTGAGCCACGGTCACCTCTGCCAAGAACACAACCTCCCTATAATACACACACGTTGCTTCTTTTTTTTACATTTTTGGTCAAGGTGATTTCATGGTTGAGCCATAGAGCTAGGTTATATAGCTGACCAGCAGAAGAAGCAGTTAGCGCCTTGTGGAAATGATTAAACAAAGCTTTGGGAGTTCAGGTCCCCCATAAGAGGTGGAGCTGGTGAGGGGGAAGAGGAGACTGACACAGTCTGAGGTTGAATTGGGATGGCTGCCACTTCACTGAGGAAAAAAAGAAAAGAAAAAGAAAGGCTACACCTTTTGTACTCTGTAATTGTACAGAAGACTAAGCAGGAGGAAGGAGCATGTGAGCTGGAGTGCGGCTTGTGATCAGGGATTGAGGAAGCTGGCATTGACCTTCTCAAGTTAATAGGCATCATCAGTCATATGTCAATGGAGGGTCACAAGTTCCGTTTGCCAGACATAAAAATTACTCCCTTTTTAGCAAGCAGGAACTTTTTTCAACCCTTCCCCCCACAGGGAATGGAAGCTTTTGTCTAAGTGCCTGATGTGGGAAAACGACTATATTATGGAATATGGCACATGGTCCTCCCTTATGGTTTCTTGTTTACCACCCGGAAGTTGCTTTGTATGGCTTATTGTATCCAAATCGTTAAAGCTTAAGACGAGCAAAGTGAGGCCAGACAAATGTTACTGTGAATATGAATAGACCTTCGGGGTCTATAAACCTAGTTTATCAATTTTTTGGGAAGCTCTATCCAGATCTGCTGCCCCTCACTCCAAACCCTCCCCAGTCTCCGAAAGTCTGCCATCAGCAGCTTCTCCCCCTGAGATGCTCAAGATGACCCTATAGGCTATTTAAGGCCTGGTCCCTTGATCAGCCACATGTTTCTTCCTCAAGTTTCTACCACTGGGAGTTGCTTTGCTCATTAAACTTGGACTTTTATTCCTTAATTCAGCTTGGTTTGATAGGCTATGTTGGTGGAGACTTAAAGGGATACAGAAACCTTTCACCAAATATACCTTATTTATCAAGCATATGTTACTCACATAAATTTTTGCAGCAGCTTGGTGTTAACTTGTGTGGGAATAGGTAGAGTTATCATGATATATATATATATATATATATATAGTTCCATAGTTGTGGGGATTTTTTTTCCCCAAAGAATTACCTTGTTTAAAGAGGTGGCCATTTTATACATTTTCATCTTTCAAATACCGAACAAAATTTCCCAAAGGAAAAGGCATAAAGGGACACTCATAAGAACAGTGAGAATCAGAGATTCAAGATGGAGGACAGAGAGAACAGAACACCGGCCTCTCTCTCCAGTAAGATGAGACCACGTGGAAATACTTAGAATACAAATGGGTGAATATTTAAGCAGAGCTAGCCAATAAGAAACTACTAACTGGCTAACAGCTTTATATCTAATACAGCGGCTCTGTGTATTATTTGGGGCTGGTGTGGCTCTGGGACCAGGCCGGCAGGGAAAACCTGCTCCTAACATAATGATGCCTTCAACGTAGCTAATAAGAACTTCCACTTAAAAGCTGACAAAAGCTTAAAAAGGGGTTTTAGAAACAAAAGAACAGAGACAAGAAAGGCTTCTTGGTAACAGCATTTTTCTCAGTTGGACTTCGTTTTGCTAGAGATAAGTAGAAATTTTCGAGGCTCCTTTAAGGGAGGTTTCCCGACTCAGCATAAGTGGCAAAGCAAAGCAAAACAAAACAAAACAAAAAATGCAAGGCTTTTAAAGAGCTCTGCTAGCAACTGAATGATGTGTATGAGAGCTGGCAATGGCAGAGACCACATCACCAAGCAGGCAGCATACACAGCTCTCAGTTCTGGTGGTAAAAGTACCCACCGCCATCTTGTATAGACCGCAGCTAATACAGTTGTGGCTTTCATTTTAGCAATGTTGTTTACCAACCAGAAGAAGATAAAGATTTACAGTAAAGACAGATTCAGATTAAGAAAAACCTCTAAAGGTTTACAGTGTGTTTTAAAATATACATATTGAAAGAGAAAAAAAAAACAGGATAAAATGGTTTAAAAAAGAATAATAAAAAGAGAGTATCTGGGTGTGGTGGCACATGCCTTTAATTCCAGCACTTGGGAGACATAGGCAAGCAGATCTCTGTGATTTCAAAATAAACCTGGTACACAGAGTTAATTCCAGGACAGATAAGAGTTACACAGAGAAACCCTGTCTCAAAAAATGAAAACCTAAAAATAAAAGAAATTGAGTAATTAAAAAAGCCATGTAAAGATGGAGAGAATCTGGATACTGTACAGTATTATATTGTCTTTGTATCATTTGACTGCTGAGGAAATAACAACTGTTAAAACAAATGGTGCTGGATCAATCCAATTTATATATTTTAAAAATGCTTTGACTTCAAAATTTAGGTCTAAGGACAAGTTACTGGGGAAAAGGATTTCTATTTTTGTTTCCACAGAAAATGAAAAGCTGTGGATTCCTTCCAGACTAACATGGTTTGATCAGGCCAGACCCCCTGAAACAGCATCTCAGGTGATCCAACATTCAAAACAGCTGGGACAAGGCAGCCATGCAGACTACAGCCAAGATTTCTGTCTTTTTAGGATCCCCATGACAGCGCCCCTACCAGCAGGAAGCAGTTTGGAAAGAATGAACCCAAATTCCTAAATATTGTCTATAAATATTTGTTTTCATTTAAATGGACTTGGTTATAAATGGTTAATGATCACAACCAATCTCTTTTTAAGGTAAAAAGGGGATTATTGTATAAATATGAATACTTTGTTTTGGAATGGATTTTCATTTAGTGATACAAATTTAAGGTCAATTTTGTGATATGTATATTTCTCCTCTTTTTAGGTATTGTGTTTATATAGCTTATTTAAAAATGTAATGTAGAATTTAGTACAGATTATAATTACCTATGATAGTCAAAACTTATAGAGTTAAGTTAGTTAGGTTTTCAAGATATACAGTGAAATATAGGAGATAGATAGGCATTCTTCAAACCTTTCAAAGACCTACAGAATATGGCATTTAAAATGGTTTAGGGTTTTTCTTGACAGTGAGACATAACTGCTCCTGGCAACACCACCTATGTCATAAAAGAAGGTGGACATTGAAGAAACACATTATGGAGTTTGCCTCCAATATTGCAAGACTAGCCATTTGGGCAAGATACTGCTCTTGTCTAGACTGTTTGACTTTATGCTGTATAAACTGGACATGCAGGACCCACAGAAAAGTGACTGCTGATTCAAGATGGACATTGCTACAGGGTTCCTGCTTCATGAAAGA